TCAAGTAGCTGATTATTACCAACCGAATAAATGGGTGAGTTTTCGTGTAATATTTATATATATGCATAGCATGTTTAGAGATTTTTTATATTCAAATTTTTAAAAATGGAAAAAATGCAGCGTATATCGTGCGTGCATAGCCAAATACTCGAGGCGGGAAGTAAATGTAATGGAGCTGTGACTGCACTTATATACTACAAAGGACTTCTTTGCAGTGGATATACAGACGGTTCGATTAAGGTTCCGTTTTTTTTTTCTTACAATATTAAATTTTTATTATTGCATTTGATATGATCAAGAAAATTAAATTTAATCGTTTTTCGGTTAAATACAGGTTTGGGATATTAAGGGACAAAGAGCAACACTTATTCAGGAAATTAAGGAGCACAAAAAGACTGTCACTTGTTTTGCACTTTATGAACATGGCAATTGCCTTCTAAGTGGTTCTTCTGACAAAACAATTAAGGTAATTTAGTTAATTAATTAATTAATTAATTAATCAAATTTTGATACTTAAAAAAAAAATTATTGGTAGATGTGGCAAATGATCCAGAAGAACTTCGAATGCATTGAAGTAATCACGACAAAGGAATCGATTAGAAGCATAGATTCGTGGGGAGAGTCGGTTTTCGCAACTACGCAAAGCAATAAACTAAAGGTTGTCGACGGATCGAGGAAAGCTAAAGACGTTTTCAAGAACAAACGAGTGAAGTGCTTAAACGTGACGCAGGGTAAAGTTTATGCAGGCTGCACTGATTCAAGTATACAGGTTCGTTTTAATACCGTTAATTAATTTATTTATTTTTCGTTTCTTGAAAAAAATAAAAAATTAGTTAATGACATTTTGGTTGATTTTTCAGGAATTGATGATTATAAATAATCGACACCAAGAAATGAAGCCGCCTACGAAGAGCTGGATGCAGAACAAGCCGATAAACTCGGTTTCCGTCTATAAGGACTGGTTGTATAGTGCGAGCTTAACCGTTGACGGCTCGAAGATTAAGGTAATATAAATTATAAATTAATAATACATAATTAAATTAGTTAATCGTAGTATTTTATGATATTGATTAGACGAAGCGAAATGTATTAGGATTGGAGAAGAGGTAATAAGCCTCAAATATCGATAATGCCGGAGAGAGGAGCGAGTGTTCTTGCAATGGAAGTGGTCGAGGATTTTATTTATTTGAATTGCAGTACATCGTCGAGCAGCATCCAGGTAATTATAATCGATAAAAATCTTGAATTTTTAATATTCGACGTAAATTGCGATTGATCGGGCGCAGATATGGTTGAGAGGGACGCAGCAGAGAGTCGGGAGATTATCGGGTGGAAGCAAGATTACTAGCATGCTTACAGCTAATGACATGATTTTGTGTGGCACTGAGAAAGGTGTGATTAAGGTATAATTATGATTAATTAGTTCATTAATTAGTTGATTATTTTTTTTTATTTTTTTTCAGTTCATGGATGATTACTTAGTACTAATTGTTGTCTGGAAAATTACAGGGATGGATTCCTTTGTAAGTTGCTGCATTCTTGGTGATTCTATTGTTTTTTTTTTTTTTTTTTTGTAAATTAAATTAATATATATATATATTTTAATTTTTAATTTTAATTTTAATTTTTGTAAATATAGAGATGGAAATGGTGTAGTGATGTAGTGGTGTGCATTGTTTTTGTTATGTAAATTGATTGAAAATACCCTCCTTAAAAGTTAAAAGCGGTAGCGTATTCTTGATTTACGAGATAACGGTAAAGAAATCGGCAACAATTCGATTAACTACTTCTTCGCAGATTCGAAGATCAACTAAGGCAATGTCCGGAAGTTTGAATCAAGCAATTGATCGAGAACGTTTTAAAGTGGTTCGATCAGAGTGATCGACGTCCATCAGGAGAGAGATAACAAAATGCACTATGAACACTAATCGAATATCAGCATAACAAATTAATATTTTTCAGTGATTAAGAAGAAGAAAAAAAAAATCCATTTAATTTTCTAATTTTTTTTGTATTTAATAACAAGAAAATATTTTATTTTATTTTTTATTTTTTTTCAATTCTTTTTTTTTTCTTGGCAGATATTAATATTTTAATAAGAGAAAATAATTGAAATATTTATACAAACTTATTTGATATATATATATATATATTTTTTTTTTTTAAATTCCAATTTGGGCCAGCCAAAACTGTGGGCTGCGAAATAGAAACCATTAACTACCAAACAGGTGACAAAAAACGTGTTTCGACCAAACACGTTTTCTGAAGTTCCGTGCTATAATTCTCTTCTGAATAAATAAAAATAAAAAACATCGTACCTGTAATAAAAGAAAGAACAATAGAAGAGAAAAATCAAGGGAAAAAAAATGGGAGAAAATCAAAAGGGCAAGCTTGAATCTATGAGGGAATGGGTTGTGGAACACAAGCTTCGTACTGTTGGTAATTATTTATATTAATTTTATTTTTCCATTACTTTATCTAAAGATTGGATTTTTATTGCGATTCTATTTTTTTTTCTATAATTAATTTGGGTGAATTAATTTGTGTAAAGGAACGCTATGGGGGAGTGGAATTGTGGGTTCGTTGGCGTATAATTGGTCTCAGCCGAATATGAAAACAAGCGTCAAGATTATTCACGCTAGGTTTGATTTCTGATTTTTTCTTTTATTTATTTTATGTATTTTTTTTTATAATTGGCATATAATTTTATTTTTGCTGTATGTGATGTGTTCAATTTTTTCAAGGGTGATGTCATTTTCTTGTATATTTGGTTGTGTGCTGGTTGGTAACATAGTAATTTCATGCACAAGTAGACCGTGTTTGGGATGCCGATTTTGTATATGATTCGGCTTAGCTAGCGTATGTTGATGAAGAATCGTGTGTTCTATAAGCATACACTTTTGCATAATCTGCTCTTTTTCACGATTGAGCGAAAAAAAAAAGAAAGAAAGAAAGAAAGAAGGGTTGTGTAATTGGATCATACGAAAAGTGATCCCGAATAATTTTTTTTAAAAAACAGCTTGCAGTTTAGACAGATTTTCGTTTTAATGATTCTAGTTATCAATAAGAACATGCTCCATATATTATAGTTTAATCACCTTTTACTAATTATCTTAGGCCTCGTTTGCTTGGGGAGATTAGCCATAATTAACTGGACTTTGTTTGATGTTTGGTATCCCCACTAATTTATCGGGTCGACCCACAAATATTATGTTACTGTGGTTTATCTTGCCTTTAGGGAGCATTCTTGTTGGACGTCCCGGGGTCCGATAAAAATAATTGGGTTTTCATTAGATTATTTGATCTTATCTTGGCTAATGTTATCTTGGCAACCAAACGAGGCCTTAGTCTAGTTGTAATGACATATTTAGGTTTCCATATAATATGTAACCATTGTCCAATATTCACTCGCTTTACCATTTTGTGTATGATTTTCGCAGCAATATCTTTATCGTTATCTATATTACTATTTTTCACTTATATGATCGATCACTTTTCTTATAGATGAATAAATAGAGTTTTATTAATCTTTGGTTTTGTAATTTTACTCGGAAAAAAAAAAAAATCAGGTTGCACGCACAAGCACTGACTCTTGCTGCATTAGCTGGCGCTGCTGTCGTGGAATATTATGACCACAATTCTGGAGCGAAAGCAGAGAGGGTTGCAAAGTTCCTCGACCGTAATGAACACCGATAGAAAACCGAAACCCGAAAAAAAAAAAAATCATCTTTTTGGATCATGTGTCGAAAATCTCGTACTGGATTTATAGTTTTAAATTAGTTTGATGTTGATTGGTAGATACATCGAGCATTTTTCCTAGCTCTCTCGCTAAGAAGATTAGCGAACGTTTGTGTATAGCAAAAACTTAAACAATGTTTTCATTTTCCGTTTTCGTTTTTCTTTTTTTTTTTTTTTTTCGTTAATTCATTTTGCGTGATTCTGCTGACCAATTTGTCATTCTTCTTCGAAGTGTAAAGCAGTTTTGCAAGAGTTTAAATGAAGACTTAATTGATGATTTATTACATTATATCTACATTGCCTTCTGCTGATATTATTTTTCCTATTACCTCTGATTATTACAAGAGAATGAATGTCTTTTGCTAATGGTGATAATTAGCTCTTAAATGTCAAATTACACCGTTACTTAGGTTTATTCGTCGAGATTCGATACATAATCAGAACGTACGGAGAGTTAGATGCTACATCTGGTTATTTACATCGGGTGGATTTCAATCATAGATCTGATTAAATAACTTATCAATAATAGATCTGATTAAATAACTACCCGCTAGTTATTTGATTCACATATTGTAAATAATCAGGTGTAACATGTAATTACCCTAAACGGGACCCTAATCTTCATTTTTCGTAATAAATATCGAATTAAACGAAATCACAACACCATATGTACAGCTCAATGAATACAGATGAGTGGGATTGTGTTTATGGAGAAAGATTTCAAAGATTGAAATCGGGCCGAATATGAAAATCAGGCAGTCAACTGGGTCGCAGTTGGACCGGTTCGATCTAGTTTTATATACTTTTAACTATTTTTTTAATTTGTTTAAATACATTAAAAGTGCTAAAATTAAACTACCATTAAAAAAAATAGTAAAAAAAAACACAAAAAATAAAAAAATAATAAAAATGACAAAGCTAGGCAGCGATCTTACTCCGAACTTTCATGCAAAAGCTTAGATCTCACCACTCCCTCT